ATGGTCGGTTTCCCACCCTCGTACAACACGATTGATAGACTTACAGGATCGCCCTTTGCACAAATCTGCAGCACCTTTGCCTTCAGACCATTGGGGAACTTATCTCCAACTACGCCCAGCCTCAAATTTGGGTCTCCAAACATGACAACCGACTTGATCTTGGGGAACAGAGAAGTAGGCAGTCTGTCTGCAGCTCGGTGCATGATGCTTGCGCCTTGCGAGTAGCCGACCAGAGAAAAGGTCTGATTGGGGCAGGCGGAAGACTGCGCGGTCAAGCGCTGAACAATGTCATCGACGCCTTGCCTTCCACCAGAAATGATTTGCGAGCTGGCTGGGTACTGCAAGGAATTCAGTTGGTGATGCTATGTTCGAAGCAATACTTGGATATCGTACCTGGACCGGATACCCCTGTACTCCAGACAGTTCCGCTGAAACGTTGCTCACAACAGGGTCACCAACGATGACGCCGTATTTTGGGAAGCTAGGCTCGCTGGTACCGCGAGCTAACAACATGGTCAATGTTGCGGTAGATATTTGCGGTCATTGAACTGCAGCTCACCAACGAGTATCTCGTAGTCGGAACATCCTCTGGGGACATCGCCAGGAACGATTGGAACCGGCTCCCCGATTTCCACACCGCTATTAGGCAGCTCGGGACATTCCTCTTGTGCAGAAGAGGTGGCAAAGAATGCAAAGGCCAAAAGAGGAGCAATAGAAGTGTAGCGCATCTTCGTGGGCAGTGAACTTGATCTGCTCTGGTAGAACTTGTTGTTGCACGCATCTTGGAAGGAGACTACAGTGCCTTATAAGTTCGCCCATCTCGAACGCTACTTCCATCCCTAACAAACGTCACAGGAAGATACGACAAGGTTGAGTGGCATTGTGTCGTTGAAAGATTGGATGACTGTGGTGGCTGAACTGGGACCTCGGCAACTGTGACATGTTTGACAAGGGTGTCGATGGTGTTGCGATCATCTGCACAAAACATCCTCTTGGCTTTGTGAACCTTTAATCTATTCGATTTTTGTACCGAGGCATGATTGCAGCCAGTTGAAGACCAGGAATGAAGTATCATGGGGAGTTGTGTACGTTTGACAGTAATGTGTGGTAATATCATGCGCGTTACACCAATTGCGTTCTTTCGAGTTGCTTACGGCCACAGATCATCAATCTTAAATACAGTCGTCTTTTGTCTAGGTCGAAAGCAATGACCGTCAGTATGAGGTGAGTACATACATGCCTGAGGTATCGATATGGCTGTGGGTTGCAACCGCAAAGGCTACAGTAAGCAACAGTTCATCGCCGTAGCGGGACGCCTAATCCCGTGGTCCCACGTCTTTCTGCATGGACGGGTGCAAACGACGACAATCCCAACCTACCTTTCAATCACGGCAAGCCAAGCCCGATCAGACGCAAGGACCTGCGACACAATCCGATGAATCCAACCTTGAAAAGATCTCGTTCGCGTCGAATTGCCGATGCACCCCAGACGATCTAAGAGCCATGCAATCATACACAACAAGTTGCCGAGGTGCGTCGAATACTCTACGAGCAGCTATTGGTGTTTCCAAAGTCTTCCAAGGTCAGTCCAGAACTACCAGGAGTGAGGTTTCGGACAGGCCCTGTATCTTATCTGCTATCTCACACACCAACTTCTAATCTTAGGCTTTACTTTTCCTCCCCGTGTCTTGGTATAATACTATGATCTTGGCTATTTGAAGAGAGTCTCCTCAGGCTCTAGCTAATTGGGTGGTGGGGAGGAGTAAGAGTTGCCTCGGCTCAGGCACCAACGTCGGCGAACTGCACTTGGAATACACCAAGATATTGATGGTGAGACGGGATCATTCACGGAGAGAGGAGAGTGTGGGATCAGAAGGAGGATTGAGCAAATCGTGTGTATAAGTATGAGGCATCTTCACCTCACAACCATCCGGCAAGCTTCAACAACGAGCTCCTTCTGCCTTCCAATCACTCTCGCTCTCTCTGTTCGCCTTCGCCTTCGCTTTTCTACGCCGTAGTCTCTTTACCAAACACATCTTTCGCTCTTACTTTCACCATGATGAACACCATCATCTCCATCCTGGCTTTGGCCATCGCCTCTTCTGCCACGCCTATCGCGCTCCCCAACTCGGGGTCTGCCGTGGTTGCGACACGTCAAATCTTCTTTGACCGCACCAGCTTGACCGAGAATGAGTTCTCCAGCCGGCTCAGTGGCGGATGTAGGGATGTCATCTTTGTTTGGGCTCGAGGATCTACCGAAGCGGGCAACATGGTAAGGAAGCCGAAGGCTGGGTAGTTGTATTTTGGTTTAACTTGAGAAAAAAGGGCTCTATCATCGGTCAGCCACTGGGCGATGAGCTGCGCCGCGAATACGGTGACGACCTGGCTATTGAGGGCGTCGATTATGCAGCGCTGCTTTCCACCAACTATCTGCCCGGCGGCACCGATCTCGTTTCTGAGCGCGAGATGCGCGGCATTCTTGAAGACATCAACAGTCAATGCCCTTCGGCTGTCATCGTTTGCGGTGGCTACTCGTATGTTCAGCCCTTTCTCCAACTAATTCAGAGACTGATCATGACCGCAGCCAAGGTGCAGCAGTCAACCACCGCGCTATCGAGGATCTCTCCGCCAGTGTCAAGAACCAGATCGCTGGTGTCGTTACCTTTGGCGACACCCAAAACCGCCGTGACAACCAGCAGATCCCCAACTTCCCCCGCGACAAGCTCCGAATCTTTTGCGGTGGGCTCGTTCGCGACACGGTTTGTGACGGTAACCTCGCAGGGGCTGTTCTACTTCCTCATCTCAGCTATGGCGATGACGCGGAGGAGGCTGGCGAGTTCTTGATTGGAAAGATTAATGCGGTTCGTGCCGCTAAAGCTTAGTTTACTTCATGTGAACGTGAAAGGCTTTTCTCGTGCTTTTAATTTCTAGAGGAACGCCTAAGGCGTAGGGGGGTAGAAGGGTAGAGAAGGCGAAGTAAATGCAAAATCAAACAAACAACCCCTTAACCAGTCCCTCAACAGCATCATAAACCTGACCTTCCTTCTGCCCACCAGTCGCTCTCTCAGTGATCACCGGAATCTGATCCTTGCCCACCTTGTAATTTCTCAAATCGCTATCCAGCTCCAGATCCTTCACCAACTTCAGCACCCTATCACCTACCTTCTCCGCATCAGCCTTGGCATCACCAGACGCCGATTCGCCGATAAAAGGAAGCAAACGAGCAACTTGCTCCGCTGCAGCGGGGTCTTGAGCTTTGAGCTTGACCACATGTCCGAGAGTGAGACAGGAAGTAATGCCATGCGGGATACTATAAGGAGAACCTAGTGCGTACCCCAGAGCGTGTGAGAGGCCTAGACCGCCCTTGATGTTGTAACCCAAAAAGCCCAGGGAAGCGAAAGCAGCGAGTTGGAGCTTTGTGATGACATCTTCGTCTTTGGGGTTTTGCTTGTACTTTGGCAGGGCGTCGAAGAGGGTGGCCGCGGACTGTAGCGTTAACCATCTGGCAGGCATCTCGGTGGCGGTGGGATGGTATAGCAGCTCGATGGCATGGTCCATGGCACGGAGACCTGTTGACATCCACAGGCGCTCGGGGGTATGCAGAGCGAATTTGGCATCGTAGATTACGCAATGAGGAACGAGTTCCTTGGCTCGCACACCCGTCTTGACACCGTCGGATTGCGTGTAGCCAGCCATTAGGGTGCATTCACTTGCGCTGAGCGTGGTGGGGATCGCGATGTGGTATAAATACTTCCCCGTTTTCTCGTTCAGGCGATAGCTGATGGCTTTGGAGCTGTCGATCGGGCTTCCACCGCCAATAGAGATGACCGTATCGATGCTTTCGTCTTTCTTGACTAGGTCGGTAGCTTCGTCGAGTTGGGCGACAGGTGCGTGTTCGCCGATCTTGGAGAAGGTGCCGGCGTGCTTGCTTCCCAACAGCTCTTCGACTTGCTTCACCAGAGGCGTTTTGCTAGCAAGTGAGTTTCCGGTGATGATGAAGGCTTTGCTTGACTCTTTCGGGAGGCATGAGAGGAGATGTTGTTTGACTGAGTCGGCGCCGTAGTGTAGTTTCTGGAGTTGCGTCGGTTGCCAGAGACCGGAGAGGGGGTGGTTCGTTGCGTCTGTCATCTTGGGTTTGGCTTTGGTCGAGCTGAGCCGAATGCTCAAAGGGCGTCGGTATTGAGTACCAGATGGGTTAATCTTGGTGGGTGTACAAAGCAGAGAGCACTTCAATGAACAGTGTATGGACTTGGTGACGATCAATCTAGTGATGTTGGTCCCACGTGCAATGAGGAAACCTTGTTTGACTGCAATGTGAGATGGAGTCATAGGAAGAGGCTGTTCAATCTGAAGTCAACTTCGCGCATAGTCAAAGGCCGGAAGCCAACGGTTGCAAGGTCGGCTATGACGTAAGACTTTAGCGGGTCGACGTTATGAGGTTATCCCGAGGTTCAGATAGCGGGGCACGGAGAAGATCAAGTAAACCCGTAGTGTGGCTATCATCGAAAGCACTCCGACTTTGGTAGACCTCTCTACGAATTAGGGCCAAGATTTCTGGCATGTACATTTCGCTGTGTGAACACTCGATCACGACATTGGCGCACATGTAAGGACGGTAGCATGAACATTTCAAATCGTAGATTGTAGAGCGGAGAAGTAAGCGGAGTGCTACCATCTCGCATCTCTAGACTATGGTACGTTCATGACTCCACCATTATATCATCCCTTCCACATCGTGTCCTGACCACCAGAGGATATCACTGTTTCGTTAATTCCGACGTGTACCAAGGATCCGTAAGGGTAATAAAACAAACGCTAATGTGAGAAGAGAAACCGTCGGAAAGTATGATACAGAGATGCTCAAACATGTGCAGGGACATGTACACGTCTAGACGTGACCTAAACCAGACCAATCATGACAGGATGCAAGACGCCTACTTTTGGACGTAACGAAGCGATCAACAAGAAAGACAAAAACCAGTGCTGAACGATCAAAGCATTTACTGCTTCTTCTCGCCCTCACCCTCAGGCTGCTGAGGCTGCTCGCTCTGGTTTTGGCTCTCGGAGCGGGCCTTGTGCATCTGGTCGAACAGGCTCAGGGAGGCGTTCTGGAGCTCGTCGGTCTTCTCCTTGATCTCAGCGGCGGTGGCAGAGCCCTCGCCAGACTGGCTCTGGGAGATGAACTCGCGCATGGAAGCGATCTTCTCCTTGATCTTCTCGGCCTCGGCCTTGTCGAGGCGGTCCTCGAACTCCTTAAGAGCCTTCTCAGTGTCGTTTACAACACTGTCAGCGCGGTTGGCAGCCTCGATGGAGTTCTTGCGCTCCTTGTCTTGCTCAGCGTACTGCTCAGAGTCCTTGACCATGTTCTCGATCTCAGCGTCTGAGAGACCAGATCCGGAAGCGATGGTGATGGACTGGTCCTTGTTGGTGGACTTGTCCTTGGCGTGAACGTGGACAATGGAGTCAGCGTCGATATCGAAGGTGACCTCAATTTGGGGTACACCACGGTGGGCCGGGGGAATGCCAACCAGCTGGAAGTTGCCGAGGAGCTTGTTGTCGCGGACAAGCTCACGCTCACCCTGGTAGACCTTGATCTCGACAGCGCTCTGGAAGTCAGCAGCGGTGGAGAAGACCTGGGACTTCTTGGTGGGGATAGTGGTGTTACGGTTGATCAAACGGGTGAAGACACCACCGAGGGTCTCGATACCGAGGGAGAGAGGAGTAACATCGAGCAGGAGGAGGTCAGTGACCTCACCAGCAAGGACAGCACCCTGGATAGCAGCACCGATGGCAACAGCCTCGTCGGGGTTGACCGACTTGGCGGGGTCACGACCGAAGATGCTCTTGACAGACTCGGTAACCTTGGGCATACGGGTCATACCACCAACGAGGATGACCTCGGAAATGTCGGTAGCCTTCAGGTTGGCGTCTTTGAGGGCCTTGCGGACGGGCTCGACGGTGCGGGTGATGAGAGGGTCCATCATCTTCTCAAGCTGGGAGCGGGTGAGCTTGGTGTTGATGTGCTTGGGACCGGAAGCGTCGGCAGTGATGAAGGGCAGGTTGATGTCGGTCTGCGAGGAGGAAGACAGCTCGATCTTGGCCTTCTCAGCGGCCTCACGGATACGCTGGATGGCCATGCGGTCGCTGTTCAGGTCGATACCCTGCTCCCTCTTGAACTGGTCAACGAGGTGGCGGACGAGAGTGATGTCGAAGTCTTCACCTCCAAGGTGAGTGTCACCGTTGGTAGACTTGACCTCGAAGACACCAGCCTGGATCTCAAGAATGGAGATATCGAATGTACCACCACCCAAGTCGTAGACAGCTACGACGTTGTCGGTGGCCTTGTCAAGACCGTAGGCGAGAGCGGCAGCGGTGGGTTCGTTGACGACACGGAGAACGTTGAGACCAGCGATTTGACCGGCATCCTTGGTGGCTTGACGCTGGGAGTCGTTGAAATAGGCGGGGACGGTGACGACGGCGTTCTTGACGTTCTTGCCCATGTAGGACTCGGCGGTCTCCTTCATCTTTCCAAGGACGAAACCTCCGACCTGGGAAGGCGAGTACTTCTGTCCTTGGGCCTCGAGCCAGGCATCACCGTTGGTGTGCTGGACGATCTTGTATGGGACCTGCTGGATATCGCGCTGGACCTCAGCATCGGTGAACTTTCGGCCGATGAGACGCTTGGTAGCGAAAAGAGTGTTCTCGGGGTTGACGACAGCCTGGCGCTTGGCGGCGATACCGACGAGACGCTCGCCCTCCTTTGTGAAACCGACGACGGATGGTGTTGTGCGGCCACCTGTGGATTGAGTCAGTGGGATGGCCAATTTGGCTGAAAAACTAGACGAACGTACCCTCGGAGTTCTCAATGATGCGAGGGACCTTGCCCTCCATGACAGCGACGGCGGAGTTGGTGGTACCTAAGTCAATACCAATGACTGAGCCCTTGACCTTCTCCTCGCCGCCCTCAGCGTACCCGCGCGTGAACATGGCGGGGGCCCTGAAGGCGGGTGTGCGTCGCGCCGCCGAAGCCGCACGCGGCAAAAACTATGATGAGGTCAGAGAATGTCAAGTATGTTTGGATGCATGCAATTGCTTACAGTCCGTGATAATCTTGAGGACAGCATTGTGGATGTGAGAGACGCTGCGGGAGGGGATGCAAGCGACAGAAGATTGGGTGTAGAGATGGATGGTGGGAGGGTGATGGTATATATGATGTAGTGATGGAAGCTTTGACGATGGACAAAATTCTCGGAGAAGATTCTAGCTCGTTTTGGTGTAAAATCGCCGCCCGAGGTTCCGCTGTAAGTGTCTGTGCTTCCGAGTTGCTACGAACAATTGCGCATGCGACCTAACTCCGGAAGATGAGGCGAAGTGCACTTTTTGCCAGTGGGCGACGCTGGTGGATGACGCGATGACGGCCTCTGCATTCTGTGTCATGGCCCTCGCCGTGCGTCGCGGTGCTCAGGGCTTGGCGCATCTCGCTCGCGTGTGGGGAAGATGCTTGACCATGGTGACGCCTGGAGCACCGCGAGACACGGCGACTCTGCCAGCCCGCCCTACGACATATCCAACCCACGCCCACATAGAACCTACGCACCCGCTGCATCTCGCCCTCGAACCTGTCTGCAGCCCCTCCTGTCAAAACCTCTAGCCTTCTGCGCTTAGACAACTGTGACGTAGAGTGCCTGCTGCTGCCGCTGAGCCTCACCGGCTCCACCCAGCATCGCAGAGACATGCGGCCTTCTCCTGCCTGACCGCAAACTATGGCCGTCGATGACTTCCTGAGCAGAGACACGGAGACCTTTGTCTTGGCTCACAAGGCGTACTACCCGACCAAGATCCCCATCGCGTGAGCGCCAGCCAGACACTGCAATACCATGGGTCGATGCTGACGGGTGCAGACACTATCAATTGCGCCACTTCATCTCGTGCCCCGAACCAGATCTCGTCTACTATGCCAGTGGCGCTGCCGTTTACTGTCTCAATGCGGCTACACGAACACAGGCCCACGTTACTACACTGCCCTGGGAAGCGCGCTGCACGGCTTCGGGCTACGGCTACGTCTGCGTGGGGGGAGAAGAACATGGCAACTTCGCCGCCATCAAGGTGACCGGCTTCCCCCCAACGGATCCCTCCGACGTCGACGCCTCGTTGCCCTTGGACTTCCAGCACCGCCTGCCTCGACCGCCCATACTAGGTGCAGCTTCGCGCGTACGCCTCGAGAAGATTGGAACCGATATCGTCAACTCCATATCCATACACAAGCTGCCGGCTGAAGGCAATGGCCAGGATGATGTCGTCGCAGTCCTTACCAACAACGACAAGACGGTGCGCATATACTCTCTTACACAGAATCTGGAGCTGGCAGTCATCGACCTGGAATTCGCAATGAACCATGCCTCCATTTCCCCCGATGGCCAAATGCTCGTGGCTGTCGGTGACGCCCCCATTGGTTTCTTCTTCGAACGTACAGACTCGCGGAAGCCTAGCAATAAGATACGCGAGGGGCTGATGCAGTCGACGCCTCCTGTGTGGACGGAGCTACACAGAGTAAACCTCTATCGGCCCGCTCATTCCCATGCAGACGGCTACTTTACTACAGCTTGGTCCCCCTCAGGACGTCTCTGTGCAGTGGGATCAGAATGCGGCTACATCACAGTCTTTGATATCGAACTGCTAAAACTTGTCGAATACGGTGAAGACGCGATCCTACAGTTGATAAGTTCTACTAGGCCGGACAGCCGAACTGGGCCCGGCGCGGTTCGGACGATGCATTTCTCGCCAGCACCGTGGGACTTCCTCATCTGGAGCGAAGACCAAGGCAGGGTGTGCATTGCCGACTTGCGAGCTGGCCTCAAGCTTAAGCAAACCCTGATATTGGACCCGAAAGAGGAAGGTCTCGAGACTGTCGAGATAGCTGACTTCGACCTCAACCTCAGTCCGGAAATGCATGAGCTTCGCAGAGAAGCGGATCTGATCCGGAGGTATCGACGCGCGTTAGATGGGGAAGGCAATACGACGACCGCCAACGTCGCGAATGAATACCTTGAAACTGACACTGAGCGACAGAGACTACATCGACGGCTGGGTGTAGTAGAGTCGGACAACGATCCACTTGGCTTAACCGTGCGCGAAAGGCAAGTACTTAGTGCTCTGCGGACAAGGCATAGGCAACCCGAAGAGGCTCGGGATGAGCAGGAAGTAACGCCGCGAAGTATCAACTACACAACTTCTGAGCGACTTAACACTGTACCGTATGTGACCCATAGACTACTGCGGTAATGTGAGACTGATGAGATGCAGGGAGCCTACAGCTCGAGAGGTGGCCGATGCGATGGCTCGCTTCATGGCAGAAAGGACTGGGCAGACTCACTCACGCAACTGGCTCCAAGAACGCACAACACCTCACCGCCGGGCTTCCGTCATCGTGTCCATAAACGAAGGCACAGTCAACGCACCAGCTGCCCTTACCAATATCACCGACTCTGTCCTTACCCGCTCACCAAACGCGGTGCCGGCACACGCGCGTCGCGTGACCAACGAGCTAGTTGCTTCGACAGATGAAGCGTGGCGCACTGTTCAAGATGCACTGGCTGCTGAGCAGGACCGCGCTACAGCCCGCGCTACTAACGCACATGCGCCTGGAGCCGACAGCCATGCTACTGCGCCTGAGCTTCGCAGCGAGCTTCGTCGAATCCGTCAACTGACGCAGGCACGTGAACGTCTTCGCATCACCCGTGCTGGCCAGCCTATTCTTGAATCCTACGAGTTCAGCCTAGGTCTCCGAGGCTCAAGCCGAACGACACATGACGCAAGACTAGGCGTACGGACGGCGGGACTCGCCATGAGCCAGGATGGGCGGACTCTGTATTGTGGCACAGAGGAAGGTATCTTCGAGTTCAAGATGAACCTTCATGTGAGGAAGGCGTTCCCTGCAATTACTCCCCGATGATCGAGTTTTTTCCGCACTTATGGTTGCTTCGGACTGGATTTCTTTGTGTCGTTGGATTCAACGCTCTCGCGGTTTTTGAGCTCTTGTGGGACGGTCAGGCATTTGGTACGGCGAACAGGTTTTGGCGCACAGCGTGCTTGGTGGGGAGGATGGTAATTGTGTTATAAGGCCAGCTTTGTCACATTAGGTATACCCGTATAATCAGATAGTCAAAAGCATCCAGGTAATTTCAACAGGCGCAATGTTGTGGGTTCTTTGTCTGAATCCGGGGTAAGGGCCCACGACGCCCGTAGTTCGGAGGCGAGATAGTGCGGGCGATGTTCGGAGCGTGGAGGGAAAACTGCCGATTTGTTGTCGATGGCGCAATTCCAGCGGTGACTCCCCACACGACGGGCTAACGCAGCCGTGCACAAGTCTTTGATGCCGTGTTGTGACACTCTTGACCTCTGCACTCGTACACCCGAACCGAAGCCCTCTGACATTTAGACTGCTTCGCTTCTGATCTTGCTTTGCCCTACATCGAACGGTTTCGTCATCGCCTCAACGCGACACCTGGAACCCGTGCAGCCCCGCCACCCGGCTTCAATCAAGCCGGTAACGCGGACGCAGAACCACCGCAATGGCTGGAGAGAGCTCCAAAAAGGCCAATGCCGCTGGCAAGGCAGCCGTCCCGCTCGACCTCGACGGCCACAACCTCCCGCCATCGCCCGCGCCCAGCTCGCCCCGTAATGGCCGCAAGTATGCCCTCATGACGGAGCTGGTCTACACGGAGAGCAGCGACCAGTACAATGCCAGCTCTGTGCCCATCTACCAGGTATGCGACACTCGAATCTCGCTCGGGTAGCAGGTGGCGGCCAAAAGGCTAACATGCGCAGTCCGCGACATTCAAGCAGGAGTCCGCGACCGGAGGCGGCGGCGAGTACGACTACACACGATCCGGCAACCCTACGCGAACACATCTCGAGCGTCACCTTGCCAAGATCATGAACGCCAACCGCGCGCTTGTCGTCTCGTCTGGCATGGGCGCTCTCGACGTCATCACCCGCCTGCTACGACCGGGCGACGAAGTCGTGACCGGCGACGATCTGTACGGCGGAACAAACAGACTGCTCAAGTACCTCTCGACACATGGCGGCATCATCGTGCACCACGTGGACACCACAAACCCAGAGAAAGTACGCGAAGTAGTGAGCAACAAGACGGCCATGGTGCTCCTCGAGACGCCCACGAACCCTCTGATAAAGATCTGCGATATCCCCGCCATTGCTAGCATCGCCCACGCCGCGAACCCTACCGCCGTGGTCGCTGTCGACAACACTATGATGTCGCCCATGTTGCTCAACCCGCTCGATCTCGGTTCCGACATCGTCTACGAATCCGGCACAAAGTACCTGTCCGGTCACCACGATCTCATGGCAGGTGTCATTGCCATCAACGACTCCGCGCTCGGAGATCGCCTCTTTTTCACCATCAATGCCTCAGGATGTGGTCTCTCGCCTTTCGATTCCTGGTTGCTACTGCGCGGTATCAAGACCCTTGGTGTCCGCATGGAGAAGCAACAAGCAAATGCCATGCGTGTTGCCACGTTCCTTGAGTCCCACGGCTTCAAGGTCCGCTACCCCGGTCTCAAGTCGCACCCACAGTACGATTTGCATTGGAGCATGGCACGCGGCGCTGGCGCAGTGCTGTCCTTCGAGACTGGCGATGTCAACATTAGTGAGCGCATTGTAGAGAGCGCAAGGCTATGGGGTATCAGTGTCAGCTTTGGCTGCGTCAACTCCCTCATCAGCATGCCGTGCCGTATGAGCCACGCTAGCATTGACGAAAAGACCAGAAAGGAAAGGAACATGCCTGAAGACATCATCCGATTGTGCGTTGGCATTGAGGATCCTGAGGATCTTCTGGATGATTTGAGCCGCGCTGTGAGTCCTGTCCCTCTAGAGAAAGGCTTCCGTTTAGTTGCTAACATGTGTACAGCTCGTGCAAGCTGGTGCTGTAAACATCACAACCGATGGCTTCCGTGCTCTGGCGACAG